TTCTGTACAGCTGCCTGAAAGGAGGGTGTAGCACCGTGGGAGTGGTGTCTTCTCCCAGAAGCAACAGAAAAAAGAGTAAAGAGCCTCAAACTATGCCAGGGGAGGTTTAGATTGGATATTAGGGGCAAGTTCTTGACCAAGAGAGTTGTCACTGGAACAGGCTGCGCAGGTAAGTGGTAGAGTCATCATCCCTGGAGGTATTTAAAAGAATATGTGGCACTTAGGGACTTCATTTAGTACTTGGCTTGGCAGTGCTGGGTTAAGGGATGGACTCAATGATTTTTAAGGTCTTTTGCAACCTAAACTGTTCTATGATTCTATAATTGCACACTTTTTGCAGACTGTYAGTTAAATAGAGAGGGTTATTACCACTACCCTTTTTGGCACTGTTTTTAACTTCTGTTTAGAATAGATATCTATAGAATACGTTGTACTGTTTTTACAGCAATGAGATTTGCCTAAGGTAGAGCTCATTCAGCTCTGATGTCCAAGTCTGCAAAGAAGAAACTTTCAGTGTTAACTGTGGCTTGTAGGATCACACCTTAAAAAACAGAAAATAGCTTGTATGAATGCTACCACATCTAACATGTCAGCCTGGTTACAAATTTTTCAATGCATTAGCAATAGTTTTGGGTGCATCTGTAATTTTTAAATGCATAGGTGATGATTTATGAAACATATAAACTCATCARAATTACTCTTTGCTGTCTTGACTCTTCCCATTTGAAGTCAAGGGTAAAACTTCTTTTGAGAGAAGAAGACTCATAGTAAGTGACTTGAAAATTCTGTGATGTTATGCATTTGATGTCAATGAGAATAGCAGCAAACAGCCAAATGCAAGAGTCTCTACTAATGGTAAGAATTAATTCTAGCATATTTTGTGGTTTTCGTCACATCTCTTTTGATGTCTTGCAGTATAACACAAGTATTGTAATAGCTGCTATTACAATGTAAATATATGTGCAAAGAAAAAAATTATTTTCGGATCAGTCTGCCTGAAACYAAAATGGGTGGTCAAAAACTAATTATCTGTTAATACCTCTCTTATCTGACTAAAAGGAAAAATAAAATGCAGGAGAATTTCTAAAGGCATRATCCTTTGGCAAACCATGGAAAAAGAACAAAAAAAAGGCAACTGATTAAGAGGAAAGAGCATCAACAAACTATTTTTGCTCTCACTGTCTTTTCCATGAAATTGTTTTTAATTGCCTCATAACTTGGCTTTATCTGCAGCTATGCTGTTACATTTGGGCTTCTTTATTCTAAAATTTGTGTCATCTATACCAAAAACTGGAGCAACAGTTTTTTAGCATCGGGATTAGATTTGCCYCATTGATCCAAGTGAGCAATATTGACTATATCAGTACTGAAATAATTGAAGGTTCTCGGAAGGCTCTTTAGCTCTCTGCCTTGTCTTTTAATACTGCTTAAATCTTAGATGGTCCTTGTTTATTTCACTTAGTTATGGCTGTTCAGAGATTTTAGAGCATCACTTATATGAGAGTGCTTTAAGAGTTACACTATTATTGCCAATGTGTGTTGCTCTTATCATTAACATTAAAGTAACAATATCTATGTTCTCCAAATAATTATCGGCAACCAATCCAGGAGGTGTTAGATCCAGTCCTTCATATTTATTTTATGTTTACATGCCATTRCAGGATGAACCTGACATCTATTTATGTCTCAATTATTTAGCATGTGGYCTCAATTATTTAAAGTGGTGTTTGAAAGAAAGGGAATAGAAAAGAGGGAAAAGAGAAGACTTGTATTCTGAGGACTATGCTTTGAACTTGCTTTTTTTGGAAAACAAAGCAGTTTCTGTCACATTCTGAAGTCAAAGGATGAAATTCACAGGGTAAAAATATGTAYCTTATTTGTATCCTCCTAATGTTCAACATACCAGTAAAATATCTGTGAACAGTTAAGAAGAATCTGTTAATTAACTATATGGCAACTGCTGAGGGGGACCAAACGCATGCCAAATGGGGTGAGTACAGTCCTCTTTTATCAGATCCCAGTCTCTTACAGTAATCTGGTTAATTCCCTTACTAAACAAACAAATGAGAAACCACAACAAAAAATAAACCTTTAAAAGTCAGCAAAACCAACAGTTACCAAGTACTTTGTGTCAGAAGAGAAAAAGATCCAGTAAGTAGGTAACACTTTGAAGTGTAATCAAAGTAGAAAAATGAAATAATTGATTGTTACTTAGATTAGTAACTGATGTGAAATACAGAAAAATAAATGCATTTTCGGCAGGCRTTTGGAGAAATGGTATTTTATTTTGAGACTCTTGCAACGTGTAAAAAATTATGCCATTTGTAGATAGATGCAGTGATCTGGTGAGGTAGTCAAAGTCTTCCAGTAACATCAGCTTATCAGAGACTTCTGCAGTATTTTCTTTAATAGYTGAGTGTTTAAGGATCTAGATATGTGTGACAGAGATATGGGTGAATATGTATATCCATAGTTTGCTGTAGCGTTTAAGTTCGCAGCTTGTGCTGCAGGTGTGCTTTTTCTCTGTTTTGGCTGGTTGTGGTTTGCCTCCTYATCATGTTTCTTCAGGCAGTTACATAGTGATTGCCTAATTTATGTAATTGTAAAATTAATAAGAACGCTTGCATGGTGGTGAAATGCAAAATAACAATTCCAGTTTTKGAGTTTCTTTCCTGATTTTAACCTGTATTATGCAATTTGACAAATAAACAGGTACAACACAGAGCTGTTATTCCCCTTTTAAGCTTAGGGCTTCTGCTTCCTTACAGATGGGTTTACAGTCCTGTAAGAACAGGGCTAAGAATGCTGTTGGATGGATTATGAATTTGCAGCAATGTCAGTAATAACCCCCTAGGAAAGAGGGCATAGTGTCCCCTGATGCATCACTACTTGTGAAAATAAAGTATTTGAAAATACTTAGTCTTGTAGCACAGTCCTTCCAATTCCAGACCAAGGCCCGCTAAAGATCCAGTCTGATGTTTTCATGACAGATTTTTATTTTTCGTATCAGTTAATGACTGTCTATTTACACAAAGTTCTGAGTAGGACCCTGTGTGTCGAGATATGAGTGTCAGTACTGATTATGCAAGACCTCTTTGTCTTTCCTGTTTCATATATCTGGGGATTAGAAAGCCATCATCTCTTTATTTATGGGAATTGGTTTTGCCTCATGTTAAGCCTCATGTAATAAGTATMTAGTTATGTGAATAAGCAGCATGTAAATGGAGAGATAATAAACACTGCTGAGAATGTTGCATAGATATTGCCAGGATGGTCCCAGCCAAGTACTGTTAGTCATTAATTTTTCCTTCTCTTCCTTCTTGTAGGCTGATTTCCTGTAGAACTTTTTTGATTTTATGCCGTATTTTTATTTTTATTTTGTTCYTATATTTAACATCCATTATGGTATTTGCCTAGGAATAGGTCATTGCTGATATTCAGCCTGCTACCATATATATAAAATTAGCTTAATCTCTAGTTTTGGAGTATTTTTTTGCTTCTGAGGACTCCTGATTTCCCTGACATTGTTCCACACAGTGCATGTTGGGGAAGCATCTTGCTTATCCAAAGCAGGAGTATTTGGCCAGCTCCACCTGGTCCTTGTCACAGACACTCAGGAACAAATGATAAAGATCACCATAGACATTTGGTTTCTGTGTCCCTCATGCTCTTGCAATGGACATATTGCTCCTGTTTGCTCATAGTCCCTCTTGGCCAAAAGCAGAAGCAAGGCTGGCTCCTGAATTTGAGTCTCTTCTTTGGTGAAGGAAAATACTAGATTTTGATTCCTGTGTGTATGTTGTGGGAACTGTAGGAAACACTCTTTCAAAAAATCAGAAGTGTTGCACACAGTCATGTAAGTCCAAGATTATTCCCTTGATATTGAAATGGACATTCAAGATTGTCAATTTGTATATACTAGAAATGCTCAGTTCAATGTAATAAATGTGCTTTCTCTTTAGTTAGCAGAATTAATAATTTCAAGAAGACATCAATTTAGGATCATACATTTTCAAAAGGGATAACAWTTTTGGGGTAGAGGTATTAAAGCAAATGGTGTTCATAAAGGAGCAAAAGACATGAAGATGAGATTTACTTCAGATAGGCACTTAATTGTTCATATGCATTTGTGAAGTTTGACACAGTAATTGCGTCACAAACAAAAATCTTGTGAGATTGCATGTTTTGCTAGGATTAGACCTACCTAGAGAACATTTTTTAAGCAGTCAGGAGGGCAGGTGTGCATGAAATATTTATCTTTTCATTTCAGAGCCTCCAGAGCAACTTTATTCTTGACTTCAGAGAGAGCATTCACTTTCGAATAGAGACATAATACTGTCTCTTTTAAAAATTACTGTAACTGGCTCTCATGTCCTTAGCAGGGATGTCATGTTTAGGAAAACGATGATTCCCTCAGGACTGATTTCTCATTCAGTACTTCAAAAAATTATACRTCTCAAGGGAGCTCCTAAATGCATCATCTACTCCCCTTTTCCTTCTAGTCTCATTTGTTTTGATATAATGAATCCTAAAACTCCCTAACATATCATGTGAGGTTGCTGAAGTGTATGCTTTTGCTGCAACTGAGATGTGAAAGGAGGGATGCTTGTTTAGGGATTACTACTGCCCCTCGCTCAGATGTCCCAGCCGTTTCAATGCACGCTTTACATCCAGATTTTCTTGTTTATCTGGCAGTTCATTATTCAAGGCCAGCTTGTCAAAATAGGTTAAATATTCTTTGGGAAACATGGTCATGTCTTTGAGACACCACAAATATTTTTAATATGAAAAGATTGGCTTGATAAGAGAAAAATGATAAACTTGCATCCCCTAAAATACTTTTCTGCTTTTTCATGTAGATTTCTTAGAGTATCAGTACACAAATGACAAACTTCATGGCAATAGAGTCCTGGAAAAGCCACAGAGAGACACCAGCAAAGCAGTGAAAATGATTGCTGATGATTTGTTCTAACTACTTGACCTTGTGACATCTCCTCCAGATATATGACCAAGATGGGACACTGCAGCACTTTATCGATGGTGGAGAACCGAGTAAGTCAAGCTGGATGAGGTACATCCGATGTGCAAGGCACTGTGGGGAGCAGAACTTAACWGTGGTTCAGTACAGGTAAAGTTGTTTTTTGATTCATTCAATGACACAAATTGGAAATGTTTTATCAGATTGTAACCATCACCAGTYCTGCTGCTTTGATTGCTGAGACATCCGAGCTTTGGAGAGTGTGCTCATGTGGGGCAGCACACACRGGGAGAAGCTCCAGGGAGCGAGGGCAGTCCCGTGTCACTTGTGTGACCACCACTCCACACAGAGCTCCCTGCCCTTCTTCAAACAGTCTCGTCAGAGGCAAGCCAACACAAGCAGTCCTCCACCCTTGATAGAGACGCGCGTGCTACGCAAGGGGGAGAAGAGGCAGGAAAGAGTTTTGCACCCAGAAGCATCCCAAGGGTCGGTCACGAGGTGCGTACACAACAAGGCTTTAATGTCGAGTGCACCTGTAGCCAAGTCTGATACTGCTTGTACCTCTCATGCTGCTGCCTGGAGAAAGTCAAAACGTGAAGAAAAATGTAAAGAAATTATGGTGCATTTCGCTTTGTACTTGCAAAGAGATCCAGAAAACCCAGACAACACATTACATAAATACATGATCTCAGCTATAAACAAACCTTTTGCCTTAGAATCAGAAGCGACTGCTTGGCCTTATTAAACGTGGTAGGAAGCACATCAAAGAATGCCCCAGGCTTGCCAGTCGCAGTGTGCAATGATTTTTGCTGGTTGCTTTAGAGAGCGGAGTTTCTTTTATTTAGAAAAAATCTTAAACTTATTTATACTACCTTTAAAATTAAAAATAAAACATACAAAAGCAAGCTAAAATGAAATATATAAAGTTTGATTAGCCCATAGGGATCCAATTTAACAATGGTAAAATTGTTCAATTGCATTTTCTACTTTTTTTATTCTCTGGCCAGTTGACTAAATAATGCTGCAGTTAAAAAAATAACAATCCTATTTATACATTACAAATCTTTTATTATGTCCTTAAATATCTGCTATCTATAGCTAAAATACCATAGGATTTTAAATAAACACACTGGATAATGAATAAAGATTGTTGTGATGAAAGAGTATTTTTGTAGGTATATTGTGGACTATTTCTCAATGTGGTGATGTGTGCGTGCACATATATATATATAAAAATAAGAAAAAAATATATGCGTACGTATATATAGATGACAAACCTAAATGAAAAGTGAGCATGAGAAAGTCATTACACATCTGTCAATATTAAGTGGATTTTACAACTCTCCTTTCATGATGGAGTTTTTACTTAGAGTTCCCTCTGTTGATCTGTTTTCGATTACTTCAGATCTTTATAAAATGAACTACAAAAACACAATTTAAAAAACTGGCATCCATCACCAGTGACTGCATCCAAGTGTAAGAAAATAGAAAAGTTGGACACTGAAAAACCAGCCTAATTTTTATTGTACATGGACGTCCTCCTCACAGAAAGTCAGCTGGTTTAAATTCATTCTGTTATGATTTGTAATATCTAAATGGAATTTTCTTCAAAGTGCTCTTGATTGATTGACCCTTAGCTGAACGTTTTGTTTTTATTTTGAGGCTGACAATAATGTTTGTTGGCATGTGTTCTGCTTCAACTGCGTTGGGACGCCATGAAGCTATCTTTATGAGTCATCCAACCACAATACTAAATACATGTCAGCAAAGGAAATATTATCCGAAAAGGGAAAAATCCCTTTGATGTACTTCAGCATGCAGAGATTTCTGCGAGTTTTGGAAGCTCTGCACACTTGTAAGGGACGGTGTACACTTACACTTTTTTTTCCCTGCCTACTCCAAGCCCCACAGACCACCCATTGCTCAAAAACAGTTCTGCTCTTTCAGCGGCAAAGTGTGTCATTTGGTTTTAGCACATTCATTTGCCGGGCTGCTGTGTTTATGTTAAGGGAAGCCAAACTGAGAGATGAAATGTTACAAGGGTGAAGTACAAAGTAGACTCAATTTTTCTCAAGTTAAGAGATGCCGGTAATTTATAGCRTGGCTCCGATTTTCATTTTTATGTAACAGTGGAAAGAATTAACTAAATGCATAGCGCTGGGAAGAAAGAGAGGGAGAAGAAGAGGAGGAGGAGGGAAGGAGGAGGGAAGATGAAGGGGAGACACAAAGGGGAGAGTTTTTGTCAGATATTCATAGAAGGCTAAGAAAACCGTTCTGCTTAGCTAGCAGTGCCCTCCTGAGACAGGGTGGCAGTAAGCGAGGAAAATAACAAGATAAATGAAATTTTTGCAGCTGCTAGTAAAATATTGAGAATCTGCACTTTTTTATTGATCTTTATGATCCTGTTGCCAAGAGCCACTTTGCGGTGACAAAATATGTTGACAAGTGCATATCTCACTGCCATGAAAAATGTGGTAGAAGATTCTCCTTATGTCTGCAGTGTTATACAAGGAACAAATTGCATTGCTACAGCCAATTCTTTATAGAAAGTCTAAATTTAAGGCCTACCAACCCTAAACACTTTTATCTTGAACTTCAGAATAATGTTTGTAGCAATTCTTCACTCAGAAATCCGGTTGAGGCCCAACTTCTTTCTCTCTCTCTCTCTCTCTCTCTCTCTCTCTCTTTTTTTTTTTTTTTTTTTTTGACTATAGATGTTTTTCTGTCTTACATAAGCTGCTATAAAAAATGGTCATTTCTTGGTACTTTGACTGTATCATTTTGGAATGTAATCCTTCAGCAAGTGTGGACTATTCTTCTTGTATATATTGAATTTCTATCCGTCTCACAGGAGTGTGTTTTAGTGTTCCATGTGAAGCATAAGGGAAAAGCCACTGCTAACAGATAACATTTGTCTTTTATCTTGTGCCCTWTTCTAATCTTACCCAGTTTTTGCTGCCATGTAAATCTGTTAACTGCAGAAGTATCACTCTGAAACTTTTTATATCAGTGCAAGATCAGGATAAGGCTCTTGGTTTTTATGCTCAAGACGTTGGGATTTTCCCCTTTTTTGTCCCTCAATTCCCACTTCAGTGGCCCAGAAATACCTAAGCTTTCCTCACAGGAACAATGTGATATTACACCTAAGGTAGCACTAATTTGTACATACTAAAGGACCGTTGGCACTGCCCACATATTTCATATCAGGGAAGCTTTTATGGCTGCATGATCCGATTGACCCCAWTTTTTTATTTCCCCTAAGTCAAAGTCTGTTTCTCTCAACAACCCGAGATCTCTCTTTGATGGTATATTACTGTCACAAAAGGTCACTTCTCACTACTTCAAAGGTCTTGTTAAATGAACTTAYTCACATAAAAGAGCAGCTGTCTATTTACCCTAAAATATGTTAACSTTAACTCAGATGACAGATGCAAAGCTGTTTAAATGGCTGTACTTGCTGATCTCTGTGCACCACTCTGTTGTTTATACTGTGTAAGCAAAATGCGCCATTCCAAAATCCCCCTGAAATTCCAAGAAAATACCTGTATTTTCAAAGAATCTTGGTCCTTCTAAAACCTTAGTGTTTAATATATGCTAGGTTCAGCTTGCCCATAAGGTCATTGTTAGTCTCTGCTACAGGARCAGGGTTCTTCTCTAATGATAGATCTGTATTTAAAACAGTAAGTTATTCATTTCCCTGTCTGCAGAAATGCTTCCAAAACAATTAATTTCTACTGTAATACTGTGTGTTATAAGAGGAGAATGCTCAATTCCTAAAATATGCAATGTTTTCTTTTGTTCTTGATTAGGTCAAATATATTCTACCGGGCTTGTATAGATATCCCCAGGGGCACTGAGCTGTTGGTGTGGTACAATGACAGCTACACATCTTTCTTTGGAATCCCTCTCCARTGCATTGCACAAGATGAAAATTGTAAGTTCTTCCTTGCATTTCTGCCTGTGTCAACCGTCATTCCTCTTTCATGCCTAATCATCTATATTCCTAGAATATTTTAGAGGGTGCTCCATCCCTGGATGTTCAAGGCCAGTCTGGATGGAGCTTTGAGAAACCTGTCCTGGTGATGTCCCTGCCCATGGCAGGAAGTTGGAGCTASAGGATCTTTAAGGTCCCTTCCAACTAAAACTGTTCTGGTAAGCTGARACACTGTGCAAAATTGTGGTGTGGTTAGAATCACTCTTCTACGTGAGTGATTAATTAGTCTGTTGCTAACCTGTTTGCTTGGTTGTCCCCATTGTACGTATCACAAAACACTGTCTTGCCAGAACAGTAATGTATAGCAGGGCCTCTGTTAGTGATTTTTTGTTCTGTTACCACAGAGCATTTTGAGAGAAGTTTTGACTGACTGATTTAAGGCATTAGATTCTTACAGTTAAACATAAAAACCCACTTTTTAAAATACAGGCTGAGTGTAAATACCCTGAAATGACAATAAACCTCTATTCCACTCTGACCATCCCCATTTTCATCCATTCTTTTACCTGTTCTCCATATTTTATTTTTAATTTAGTAGGAATCCTCACAAAACCAAACCTGCAATTTAGACACAGTCTAATGCTGGATACCTTTGTCAGTAATGGAGATGGGTAATCCAGGCACAACCTTCTSTTCTGCTGCCAGAGGGTGGGACTTGCTCAGAGCTCACATCCATTTTGGCAGTGTATGTATCCATGTGGTGGAAGAAAACAATAATGGACTCATTGACTTTGGCCTAAAGTAACTCTGTGACTGCCCTCACTTAATCAATTACATACAAGATATATGTTTTTTGTCCCGTAGATGGATACTTAAACAGGATGAACTGCTGGGATGAGCTAGCGCCTTGTAGCAACTTAAATATTGAATAATGCAGCAATCAGACAGCAAGATAGCAGGGATTAAATGTCAAAAATTAACATGCTTTCCCATTTGAGTTTTCAAATCCATTGGGCTTGAGAAAAGTTTAAAATAAATTTATTTACTGGCAGAAATATTTGTTGATGAAAGTCATGCTCTGCAGTGTACAATACAGAAATATTATTTTTTCTTTCATGAACTAAGACTACATAAACTTTATTTGAAAAGCAAAGCCTGAATGGCTAAAATCTCCAAAGATTGTSATTTGCTGTTTTGGTGCAAGACAAACCTGAGTTTCA